AGAGAGAGAGAGAGAGAGAGAGAGAGAGAGATTGATTTCGAACTCTGTCATTTCATTGGATGATCATAATCTCAATGGCCTTTTTTCCATTGAACAATTCTATACATTTTCCATTGTGAAATTCTATACTTAAAGTTTCAAACCACTTATTCCATGGGGTTGCATTTATTCTAATTGGCTTTACTGGGTTCCTCAGTTCTTTTACTTCGACTCCCTGGAGTCTCTTCCGACAGAACCCTTGAAGCCTGTCGATATAAGGCCATTAAACAGCCGTTATGATGCCCAAATATCAGTTTTTGGTGTGAAGCTTCAGAAAAAACTAGAAGAAGCGAAAATTTTTGTGGTGGGAGGTGGAGCACTTGGGTGCGAATTTCTGAAGAACTTAGCCCTGATGGGTGTGTGCTGTGGTAACCAAGGGAAGCTAACAATAACCGATGATGATGTTATAGAGAAGAGTAATCTGAGCAGGCAGTTCCTTTTTCGAGATTGGAATATAGGGCAGGCAAAATCCACGGTTGCAGCTTCTGCTGCTGTCATGATAAACCCTCATTTCAAAATTGAAGCCCTTCAAAATCGAGCGAGTCCTGAGACAGAAAATGTGTTTGATGATGCATTTTGGGAGAGCCTTAATGTGGTCATAAATGCTTTGGATAATGTAAATGCAAGGATTTACATTGATGCTAGATGTGTGTATTTTCAGAAGCCTCTCTTGGAGTCGGGAACTTTGGGGACAAAGTGCAATACACAGATGGTTATCCCTCATCTTACTGAGAACTATGGAGCTTCAAGGGATCCTCCAGAAAAGCAGGCACCTATGTGTACGGTCCACTCTTTCCCTCACAACATCGACCATTGCTTGACTTGGGCTAGGTCTGAGTTTGAAGGCTTGCTTGAGAAAACCCCAGCTGAAGTGAATGCATTTCTCTCTAAACCGGAGGAGTACAAGGCTGCTATGAGGTCAGCTGGTGATGCCCAGGCCAGGGAGTTGTTGGAGCGTGTTATCGAGTGCCTCAGGGACGAGAGATGCCAGAATTTCCAGGATTGCATTGCGTGGGCTAGACTGAAGTAAAGACACATGAGTTTTAAATTCTCTCACTGTTTTTGGATTACGAGTTCTCTCTCTCTCTCTTGTGCACACACTAGCACACATGCACACACAAAAAGTAAACATTGACTTCTGTGTTATGAAGGTTTAGCTTTCATTCTCTCAATCAAAAATATTTTGAACTCTCTCTCTCTCTAGAAATGGAAAGGGTTGAGGTAAACATTATCTTTCGGGTTTTGATTTTTGACTCTGCTCTTTGTAGCTTACCTTAATTGGGATGGGGTCACACACACACATACACACACTCACTCACACACACATGCGCACACACACACACACACTCACACACACACGCGCACACACACACAGACACACCACCCCCTACCCACCCCCCATGCACCATCCTCCATATGGAGGAATCCAAAGATATCATCTAGTGGGTTCTATATTATAGCTCGCTGTTTCTGGTTTTTTCAAATTTGTAACTCTTCCCTCTGTTTTAGGTAAAATACAAAATGATCCACTTATATGTGAAAGTTACAACGAAGGTAGGTCAACGTGTTTTTTTTTATTTTTTTGGCCCTTTGGTCAACCCGAATTAGCTTTTTTTAGTTCTTTTATTAGTAGGGCAATGCCTTTTAAGTTTGAGGCATTGCCTTACTAACGAGAAAACTAAAAAGAAAAAGCTGGGATTAGCCCACGAGCTCATATGAACATATGAGCTCAACGGTCTAGATTGAATCTGGGTCGATCTGGCGATCACTGATGTCCGGTAGTGTTTGAATTTTAATTTTTTTTCTATAAATCCAAATTACTTAAAATTTTAAGAGTATGTTCATAAAAAATAGTTGAATCTTCAAAAAATATCAAAAAAATATTTTACATGAAATAAATTGACCAAAATACCCCCAAAAAGTCTTTGAGGTATTTTGGTCATTTTATTTTTCATAAATATTTTTTTTTATATTTTTATTAAGTGTGCTTGATGAGAAGAACACAGGCCTAAAATTTCAAATGATTTGGAGTTTTTAGAAAAAAAATTAAAATTCAAACACGAAATGAGATCGTGGTTGTCAGATCGGCTTAGATTTAATATGGGCCATTGGGCTCATATGTTCATATGAGCTAGTGGGTTAATCCCAGCTTTTTTCAAACTAAAAATAAAATTAAAATTCGGGTTGACCAAAGGGCAATTTTGGAAAAAATGAAAAAGGGATTGTCTACAAAGGGACCATTTATCTTTTGTACATGGAGATCACAACTATTCTTGCTCATCAAATTGGATGACTTGGGTTGAGTCATGAAGTCTGAGAATTTTATTTTTGGAATTGTGTCTATTCAAATAACACTTACAACCAGCCATTTTGAAATTTAAGGGACAAGAATAATTGTGACTTTCATGTACAAAAGAAAAATGGTCACTCTGCATACGATCCCAATAAAAAAAAAGCCAGTTGACCGACATTTTTTGTAATTTTCGTATATAAGCGGAGCATTTTAAATTTTACCAAAAATTTTAGGGTCGTACATAAATCACTCTTCTTACTCCTTTCTCTCGCTTGTTACTATTTTTGCGCTCTCTCTCACTCTGTCTATATATTTATATGTGTGGGTGTTTTTAATTCTTCTGCTGATGAACTTCAAAAATCCAGGTTTGAGGACTACTTTGCAAACCGAGTGAAGCAGCTGACTTTCACTTTCCCTGAGGATGCTGCAACCAGCACTGGAGCTCCCTTCTGGTCAGCTCCAAAACGTTTCCCAAGACCACTGCAATTCTCTCCGAATGACCCAGGTCACCTCCACTTTGTTACGGCTGCTGCAATATTAAGAGCTGAGACTTATGGGATCCCAATAACTGACTGGGTCAAAAACCCCAAAAAGCTTGCTGAGGAGGTATCAAAGGTTGGAGTTCCTGAATTCCAACCGAAGAAAGGGGTGAAGATTGTGACCGACGAGAAAGCTACCAGTCTCACTCAATCCTCTGTGGATGATGCGGCCATCATCGACGATCTCATTCTTAATCTAGAAGGGGCTGCTGCCAAGCTCCCAACTGGATTCAGAATGAAGCCCATTCAGTTTGAAAAGGTTTGCTCCTTTACAAAGAACACCATTAACATCATATATGTTGTGGTTGTTCACTTAGTTGCCTAACCACTTTATCACTTTGAAGCTGCAACCTAGGTTAAAGCTTCTTTCTATCGTGCATGGTTCTGCATTTTTTATTTATACAGTACTAATTTTGGATGGGCTACTAATTTTGGATGGGATGAAGTCTTTGGATCTTATGCCAAGTTTAACTGACTTCCTACTTCCTTCTAAACTCAGTAAATTACAAATGACTGCAATCTGTAAGTATCTCAGAATGTGTTTCATCATCAGCATTTTGGATTGAAATCTCTAAAGAAAAAAGGTATTTTCCTCCAAAACATCGTATCATAAGAGGCCACAATTTCATTGGTTTATCTGATTTCTGAAACATAAGGAAAATTGTTTCATGCGGGCTGGACCACATTTCTACAATATGCGGTGCAGAGGTATAAAGCTGTGGTCCATCTAAAAACAAGTGTAACGACGGTCCAAATGTTTCCTTAATATAATTATTGTTCCTAGTTTTCAATTTTTCTTTTTTTTTCATATTCATGATCTGCATGTTAAAGATTATATATTCTCTAAAAATTAAGTCCAAATTATATTTAAAAATCTATTTATTGCCAAGCCCGCATTTCTACAATATGCTGGCTGGCTGCATAGAAACCGTGTCTGAAACATAATGACCCGTCAAAAAATGGTCGCGTCAACCATTACGCAACCATTTTTTCTGCCAATGGCTGGAACCAAGATTAACCCAAATATCTGTATTATATGATCCAAAGTCTTTATCCATTGGCTTGGTCTTATGACTTATTCATCTTTTTTTGCTGAGTTTACAAGATTACAACTTTCTTCAGCCCTGCTGCACTTCAAGAGCTCAGGGAAACAAATAAATACTTATCATCCTCTGCATGTCAAGAAAGAAAAAGGAAGAAAACATTTCTGTTGTGCTCTTCACCCATATGTGTGTTTCCAGGATGATGATACCAACTACCACATGGACTTCATTGCTGGTCTGGCAAACATGCGCGCAAGGAATTACAGCATACCAGAAGTAGAAAAGCTCAAGGCCAAGCTCATCGCCGGAAGGATCATCCCTGCTATAGCAACCTCCACGGCCATGGCCACTGGCCTTGTTTGCCTTGAGCTCTACAAGGTAGCATATGGTGGTCACAAGCTTGAGGACTATCGCAACACCTTTGCTAACCTGGCTCTCCCCCTTTTCTCAATGGCTGAACCAGTCCCTCCAAAGGTGATCAAACACAGGGACTTGAGCTGGACAGTTTGGGACCGATGGATCATTGAGGAGAACCTGACCTTGAGGGAATTGCTCAAGTGGTTCGAAGCTAAGGGGCTTAATGCTTACAGTATTTCGTGCGGGCAAAGCCTTCTTTACAACAGCATATTCCCGAAACACAAGGAAAGGCTCGACAGAAAGGTGGTGGATGTTGCGAGAGATGTGGCCAAGCTTGAGGTGCCGGCAAAAAGGCGCCACTTTGACATTGTGGTGGCTTGTGAAGATGAGGACGAAAATGATATTGACGTTCCACTGGTTTCAATTTACTTCCGGTGACTGCTGGATAGATGAGAGCAAGGCAGGAATCGGCTGTCATTTCATTTGAATTTTCTTTTGTCTCTACGTGTATGAATGTTGCACGCGTCAATGTAGTGGTTACATATATGACTTGATGATTCTTACATAAAAGTTGCGCCCACTTATTTAAGATAAGATTATCTCTCTTTCTCTCTCTCTCTCTAACTGACTTGTTTGGATAAAGATTGGGTGCCTCTCTACTTATTTATATGGTAAATGGTATATTGCTGCATGTTGGGCATATCTGTAGTGGCAAAATTTTGCTCCCCTAATTTGAGATCTCATCCTCTAAATGTTATTGTTTGTGTGGCCAAATCTGTCGTTCTACGATGTGCCAAGGCAAAATTTATCTCTTGCCCAAGAGAAGTAAACGCTTGATTGCTAAGCTGTGTGATTCCTGAAGGTCAATGTGGTAACGCATTGCCTCAGTCCTAATGAGAGATATCTGATTTCTGATATATTGGTAGCTAAAATCCTCTGACAATATTCCTGTATTTATCACGATGTTTTAAGGCGTCTCATTATTATCATCACAATAATAACCATGTAGTTTGAAAGCAAAATCAGTAGTGATTTTGAAAAGAATTATTTTATTTAGAATAGTAAATTCAACAATTGGTTTGAGGATATGTTATTGTTTGGGTACAATGTTCGAAATAAAATATTTTGAATGTTATGTCATATTTTTATCCATTGGATTTCACATCATGATTCAAAATGATTGTGATTTTTTTGTACTAAAAATAAATGATGTCATAGTATACAATCTTGTGTGAATTACATAAACTTAATTTGTTAATATAGGTTTAATAGGTTAAACAATACCCTAATCGATCCTAACGGAACAAGTGAAATAAATGAACATTTATGAAGAAACAAAAAAAAAAAAATTACAATTACAATTTCATAGTCTTCATGGAACTTTAAGGTTAAGAAGATGGAGTATGGATAACGTTTTGCTTATGCTGGGTATAAGGTGGGTCATATCAGCAAATAAGGTGGGTCATGTCAGCTGGATAAGATATTTTTAAGTCGATATTTTTAAGTCTATTGTTGATTACGATATTTTAAGTCCATTGTTGATCATGCGACACCTGGATTTGAATTTGGGAAAAAGGATTTTACAGTTTTTCTTTACCACTCGGCTATGCCACCAAAATGATATGGAAATGCCTCTTTAATGGATGAAAATATAGGAAATGCACCTTTAATGGATGAAAATAGAAGAGTTTATGATCTTGATTCATATAGTAACATCATTTTGACTCCATTCAGTTTGAATTGGTGCTTTCTCGTGGTGCCGTTCCTATCTAATTATCTTAAAGTAGCTCTGTTTCATTATATTCCATCTATGTCCCAATTCCATTTTCATGAATATCACTTTGGTGTCATTGATATTAGTGATGTTATTTCTAAATATTTTTATGTTTTTTATATATAAAAAGTTAAGAAACCATCATATAATAGCAATTGAAAAAAAAAGGAGGTTTCGGCAATTGTAGGACATCTGAGCGCAATGATACTTTCTTGTGTCTTGGCGATCATCATTACCAATCTTTCAATTAATGTTTCAAGATCTGAAGTTTCCGAGCTACTACATGCCCCTCCAAGCCATGAATTATAGTGTTTTGTTACACCGATAACACTTTTGACCTCAATAATTTATCCTTTAACCACATAAGTTCAAATTGAAAAGGTAGAGGCCCAAAGGAGCCCCTGTCAAGTCCAAGAGCGGCAGAAAATGATCTGAGGTTATGTAAGGGAGTGTTTTCACAAATGCTTTAGGAAAGAAATTATCCCATTGATTATTGAGTCAAATTCTGTCAATTCTAGATATTTGAGGGGAAATGGCTGAATTATTTGTCCAAGTGTAGGGAGTGCCATTAACATTAAGGTTAATAAGGCCATTAGAAATAATGAAATCATTAAAATTATTCATCTCAGGTACCAAACGAGTACATATACTAGATTATGAGGGATAACGTACTTGGTTAGAGTCGCCAGCCCCACACCAGGGGAACTGAGATTATGGAATTAAATTGGATAATTCCAAAAAGAAAGCACTTTTCTCATTAATACTGTTAGGGCCATATATAATTGTGTGGCTCCAGGGGTTCGAAGACCCCGCAAAAAAAAATATGATAGAAAGGCATCTCAAATAAGAGAAAGAGAAAGAACCCTTAACCACGGAAAGATCCCAGATAACCAAAAGTCCCTTGGAGAGGCCATCAAACATAGAAAACAAAAAGTCCAAAGGGCCATAGCCCCCCAAAAAGCAAAGAAGGGCAACATCAGGGGAGGCAATCTTGGTTTCCTGAACGAGCAAAATCTGAGACCGGTCAGAACAAACCACCCACTCAAAGATCTTATAGTCAAATCTCCCCCCAGTATAACGACCTAGATTTTTCTGGCCGAATAGTTTGCATGGCAAGAAAAGGAGGGAAGAAAACGGGCGCGAGCGATAGTGGAAGGCGCACAACAGAGTGCGCACGGCAGTGGAAGGCGCACGACAGAGTACGCACGGCAGTGAAGAGATAGAAGAGAAGACGCGCGCACGCGGTGATAGGAAGGAGAAGCACGTGATGATGGTGAAGAGCGCGCGGCGATATGGAGAGCGCACGTCGGTGGAAGAGAGCGCAGCTGTGTATGCGCCGGGAGTGAACGGGGGGCATCGCCGTGTGCAGCACTGACGTGCATGGGTGGTTGCGCCACTTGTCAAACTGCATGAGAGTTGGGCTGCCGCCCGTCGGTTTGGGCTGCCACCTGCCTTTAAGGGGGGTGCTTGAACCCTCTCCTCTCCCTCACTCTTCACTCCTCCACATCTCTCTCTCTCTCTCTCTCTAAGACAAGCTTTGGGGAAGCTCTCACCCTCCCCTTGAAGCAACTATTGTTGGAGTTGAATGACTATGGAAAAAGGGTAGGACGACACCATTGTTGTTTTGGTAAGTGAATTACTACCCCCTTGCATCAAGTTGTATGAAGTATGTATGAAGCATGATTTAGCCATGAATGAAGCTTGAGTGAAGCAGGAGATGGGACATGATGTTTTATAGAAATTGAGTAAAATAATAAGATAGCATGACCGTATTTGTGCTTTATTTTTTTGGCAATTTGGCCTTTTTTGTATGAATGAATCGTTAGGTGCTGTTATTATTCTATTGAGCCCAAAAATTTGTAGGTTTTGTGAGTCTAGTTTAAGCTAGAATTGGTTTCATGTTGATGTCTTTGATGGATTTGAAGTTATGAAATAGTTTTTGGAACATGCCATGCTTGCACTGTAATTTTCCAAGGAATTCACTTGCTGTTGTGATGAGATTTTGAATGAGAAATGATATCCTATTGACCTCAAATTATAACCATTGGAAAGGTCTATGAGTCTAATTTGAGTTTGGTGTTTATGACTAGTTGAAATTCTTGATATTTTGGAGGATATGCTTGTTTTTTGCCTACATGTCACTGTTAGTAGACTGTGGTAATTTTTAGGAATATTACTTCTGTTATATTGAGAGTTTTACTAAGCAATTGAAGTCCAAATGACACCACACTACCACCATTGGAAAGATTTCCGAGTCTATTTCAGTGCTAATGTTTTCATCGTGTTCTAATTTTTCATGTATATAAAGTTATAGTTCGAATTATGCCAGTAGGTCACTGTGGGCAGTTTTAGTGAAAACACAGAATCGATGTCTCTGATGTCACAGATTTTGACTGACCAAAATGTGTCTATTTCTTCCAAGCTATTGCCATTTGAATGGTACATAAGTCAGCTTAAAGTCACATGTTGAGCTTTTTGAAATCTCTTCATGATTTCGAGTTATGGAGTGAGTTTCAAAGATATGTCACTGCCTTCACTGCACAACAGATTTCAGATTTAATGTCTCTATTATTTTATACTTTTGAGAGGCCGAACAAGGTCCAGTTGCTTTCAAACCACCTCTATTTGAAAGTTGGATGTTTATAGGAAAAAAATGATTTTGGAACTATCTTTAAATTCCAAATGAATTGAAAGTTATGACCCTAATTGTGACTAGATATCACGACTAGAATTTGCAGTTGTAACACTTATTCTGTGATATGGGTACGGTTATTCTGTGACATCGACACCGAGATTCTGTGATTCTGATAATGTATGATACTGATATTGTTACTTTGCGACTCTAATGCAAACGTTTTGAGATACCGCTAATGTTATCAAGTTATACTGATACTATTATGCATGCTGTGATCGCTACGCAATGGGTCATCCATTGGTAGTGGATACTGTAATTTCTGTTATACTGTTATGCATGCTGTGATTGCTACGCAATGGGTCCTTCATTAGTAGTGGCTACTGTAATTTATGTTATACTGATACTGTTATGCATATTGTGACTGTTATGCAATGGGTCGTCCATTGGTAGTGGATACTATAATTTCTATTATACTGATACTGTTATGCATGCTATGACTGCTACGCAATGGGTCTTCCATTGGTAGTGAGTATTCCGACTCTGTTATATGAGAACTGAAACCTATATATGACTACTACGCAATAGGTCTTCCATTGGTAGATGGATATACTGCACCTTGACTCCTGTGATAGGAGTGGAGTATATATATGCCTGTAAAGAAATGGGCCAGTCGTGCCCCTCGAATTGTCATGAGCACTACATATTGGGTTCTCCAATGATACTGTAACGCCCTCTCGCCTGAGGGCACAAGAGAGGGTCGTGTCTTGCAAGGCCTCAGCCTACCGAAAACCCCAAAGTGGGCTGGGGATATGTGCGTGAGTGAGGATATTATGAAATGGGATCTCCACTTGTCATTATCCTCCCTTTTGAATGAAGGTAGAAGTCCTAAGTTTCAGGGTTAGCTTGACCTGATCGATGTGACTTCTAATTCGGGAGTAACTTGTTCTGTTCTGCTTATCTGAATTCGTCTGTTCTGCTTATTTGAATTCGATATTATGTATGAACATCTGACTGTATTTGTACTATTTACAAATGTTGTTGTCCTCTTGAGAATAAGAAATGTTCTGTTAATTGAATCTTACGATCTTTATACAACATTCATATAGACTCTGATGTGTGACCATACTATGTGAGACAAATGTGATTTTTGACGAACCATGGGCATATTATTATGTATTCACTGATAGTTAGGAATG